GATTTCACAATCTGTTGGATCCAGGTAACATCACTTCTAGGCGTTTCTACTTGTCTTTCACCATTAGAATAATATGCATTCCTTTAGTCCTTCGCACAAGAACCCTTTGATTTGAATTAGTTGATAGTCTAAGATATTCATTAGGAATAGTCCGAGACACATGCTTTGGTTTTCTAGATTCCGTTCTGGTTCATGTCTTGGTCATCATTTATCTTATTTTTTATTTGTGAATTCTCAAAGAATCATCTCATTTCTACCAAAATTCAGGCTGTTGTGCTTTGTTTATGTTGTTCTCTTTCAGAAACCGGCTGCTCCAATCGATTTCACACGAAAAGAACATTTTGGTTTGTGCGTTCACGTGCCTTACATTCAGGTCGATATAATGGCCGATTTGGATCTCCGTCCTGTACCACTTGCCCGATTCCAATCCGCCTCGACAACCACGTGGCTATCCCTGCCAGCTGGTAAACAAACCATCCAATTAAGCATCCGTTCACGTCAAGTTGCCCTACTTGACATGCTCCCGTTACCCGAGCAAACTCGTACGGGTGCTCCATCACTTCCGGCTGAGTCCGAAATGCGTACCCTACTTTCGGCGAATCCGCCCGATTTCGAATGCACCTCCTCGTCGTCTACCATTCCCATCTCAGACCACTTATTTGTTCTCAGGTCATTGGAAAAGCATAGTTGTGAGCGGTCTGCATCCTTGAATTTCTCAGCAGAAGTAAGAACGACAAATTTGCATTTCCACGATTTGTTTTGAACCTGTTGAGGTTATTGCTCACTTCGACTTTTAAGTTCGGGATGTTTGTTTGTCTCTTCCGTTTAACAAAAGACAAATATTGCGAGATGTTAGTGTTTTTTGATCACCTCAGTTACTATAACGCAAAACAATATGGTATTTATAAAACATTGCTTTGATCACGACAGTGGTTCAACGGACAATAATCATAGGAGTGGAGAATCTGTTCCACGGCAGTTTGGTTGATTCCGCCAGAAACGTTTGTACGCATCATTTTGAGTAACGTAACTTGAATTGCATCGCTTCGCCAAACTCCAAAAGCTTGGGATTCATGTTACGCTTTTAACGGCTTGAACGACAAATGTGGGGCAA